AAAAACAAACATATTAAATCTATTCAAGAAAAATTTTCAAATGGAAACTAAAAATGCATCATCTAATTCTACTGCAACAGGTAATACGGTTAAAAAGTCCGTTATAGTAGCCAACGAAAAAGCAACTAAAAATATAAAATATGCATTATTAGTTATTTGTGAAACACAGTAAAAAAAGCCACGCGAACAACATATTTATCCATAACTAGTAAGCAACAAAGTCCACACATGCAAATAGCATTACTTGTTATCCACATTCTTGGGGTAAGCAAAACGTCATTACACGGCGTCGACATGAAACCTTTATGAAGATCATGCGGACGGCCGAATCATTTTAACGATTGCGCAGCAAAATTTAAACGGGTTTTTTACGGGTATATTTAGTTAGCAGCATCTCCGAATAATACCGATAGATTTAAGAACAAAGAGAAAAAGGTACCAATTGTTATTAATCAGTAACCTCAACGTTAATGATGATATCGCAGGTAAAAGGTCAGGCAGGAGATGTACGTATTTTTCGTATGTATTTTGGATATTGTGTTAGAAGATTCAATTATTGTCTTGTCGTTATTTATTTATGCATTATATTTGTCTTTATGTCTGAAGTTTTTTAACAATGATAATTGTTCCGTGTTACGTACCTGTCTATTATTTGTGGCGTAGTCTAGTAACAATCTTTGAATATTAGTTTTGCATATACTAAATATTATGAAAATATTTAGTTTTAGTTATTCGTTAATTCGTTATTACGTTATGGTTAATTATGTATAATAAATGTCGTTAAAATAATATTATATATTAAATATTTATATATAATATATATATATATATATATATATATAGTGTATCTATGCATAGTATATTTATTCAAATCTTAATCTAGGCTTAACGTGGAAAAAAAGATTTCACACGCAATGAGTTTAAAACTAGTTTTACTCTAGATTATATATATAGAAAATACTTACCCTAAGATATATGAAATATGAATAATATATGATAGGCAAATCTTTTCCATACATATAAAAATAAATTTCCGTTGGTTTTTCAACCTTTTATCAACTGATCTTTTTTATTTTTTGACGGCTGCAAGTATATTTAATTTTTTTTTTGGACGGAACGTTTTTCAAACATCTCCTAATTCGTTAAATCTTGTGTACCCCTTAGTATTCGTCTTTGAAATTTATAAGTTTGAAACCAAATCCGATTTAGGGTTTTCATTTTCATGCGATTAATATTTTTTCGTGAGAACGTCTTTTTAACTTGCTCCTTATCTATATCATAAACGGATATAAGTATCTTTTAAAGCCTTTTACGACCAATTTTTTCCTCTCTGAGCTGGTCGAATCAATTATTCGTTGCAAATATGGACGCTCTTTATTTCAAAGTTGACCACCTTAAGTTATTATGGTCAGAATATCGTATTGCAAACGAAAATGTCGACAGAGATTACAGTGATCACTCGGAGTGGGCGCGTAAAAAACTGCAGGTATTATTTTCTTTTTTACAAACCACTAATACTTTCATGTGCTGTTCGCTTGATCTCGTAGTTCTTTTAGTTATACTTTACATTGTAAAAATTATAGGCAGTATTGTTAGAGTTCGACAAACTTATCCAAGAACAAATTCTTTGGAAATCGGCCCTTTCGGCTGAAATAGAAGACTTGCTGGTATTCTTTATTTTAAATTTTTTTTTTTGTATTTATTGTGATTTTTGTTTTATTAAAAACTTT